ATCGACAACTGCTGTGTTAATGAAGAAAAAACATAAAGTTAAAAATTTTTAGTGTGAAAAATGCTAAGTATTGTGTAACTATCTTTAGTAGGAGAAATTGTATTTTTGAAAAATATAGAAGATTTAGACTTTTATTTTTCAAACTTATATTTCTTTTATTAAAAATAATTTTCAAAACTATTATTATATTTTTAAGTAAAAGATATATATAAGGACTTTGCTTTGGAAAGGAAGTGTGGAATTCAAAATTATTAAAGGCCTATCCGGATATAGTAATCCTTACCTGAAAAAGAAGAGAAAAAGAAAAAAAAGAAAGAGAAAAAGAAAAGAATAATTGAAAAAGGGAGGAGAAACTTGAGGATTAGTGCCTAATCAAAAATTGGTTCCACATCTGATCTTTCTAAAGTATAAGACTTGAGAAACTCTTAAGCATAATGATATAATATGCTAAGTAAATATATGCTTGATAAAAATTTTTAAGTGGAGATGATAAAATGCCTAAACTCTATATTTGGAGAATCTACAATATTTCTGAACTAGATAGAAGCTCATATTTTCATATTTCTTAAATTAAAAATTTCTAAACTCTAAGTTGGTCTCATTTATTAATTATTTTTTAAAATTGGGCTACTATATTTCTACATCAATATTTTGGTAACTTCTAAAAAAAAACTCCTAAAAAAACACATATACATCATCTAATTATTTAGTTTTTAAAGATTGAAGGGTCACATGAGGACAAGTAACATTTTAACAAGTAACATTTTAAGTTTGAAGTAACATTTTAAGTTTGAGAGATTTTGATACACCTAAAATATATAGAATTTTTATACACATTATTATGTCTATTTTTGAGAAATTGCATTTTAATGAAAGGTATTTATGTGTTTTTCTTTTAGATACAATCAAATGATAAAAAAAGGTAAAATGAGTGAAAAAGGATCAAATTTGGAGCAAAAATGAAGAAGGTGCAAAAAATGAACTGAGACGCCTAAGCGTCGAGGACTGACGCTTACACACCTGTTATATAGAGAGAGCCTTGCCTAAGCACCAGGTACCACACACTTAGACGCCAGAAGTAGTTATTTGATGATTAATTGAATTTGGACAAATTTTTGAAGACAAATTTTTGAAGAGGTTTTGAAGAGGTGTTTGAAGCAACCCTTAATAAAAATGTGGGAAATAGTCCTTAGACATAAAAATTCATTCAATTGGCTTTTGAAAGGAGGAAAATTCTAAAAGATTCATTGAATGGAGACAAATTTTGGGAGACAAATTTTGAAGAGACTTTTAAGAGACTCAAAGACACCACTTGGAGTTTTTATAAACAAGACTTGGATCATCAAAGGGAGAGGCCAACCAATCCAAACCAACATCCATCATCCATCCAAGTAACCGCCGCCGCTGCCGCCTACCACTTTTCTTTTTATTTTGAGTTTTAATTTGTATTGTGAGTGATGGAAGAGAATTCAAAGGAAATTTAAGACATTTGGTGGAGAGGATTTGAGAAAAGTGTTTATCTTTGTGACTACATTTGGTTTCAATTTAGATTTTTTGTTTGTGTGCATGATTTCTACTTTTAAGCTTAAGTGTGCTTGTGTTTTCTCCATGGATTCTGAGCAGTTTGCTTTATCTTTTCCTTAAAATGATAAGTGATTAAGTATTGAAAGGAAGTTGTGTGAAGTATTAGACTTCAATGTTGGAGGAAGTTGTGTTGATTTGAAACCTTGTATTTCATTTACTTATTATTGATTTGGCCAATTGATTTGGCCAAATAAGATATTAATACCTGTTGTGAGAACATGTAAGATCCAAGATGGTATTGTCTCAGTCGACAAAAAGTAAGAATCACATTTGATTTCATGGATTAAAATGAGTTCATGAGATTGAGTGCAAACAAATAAGAAAATAAACTTTCATGGGTGTAGAATTAGAGGACTTTAGAATGACAGACTAAAATCCCCAATTAGATTTATAGTTTTAGATTTTGATACGAGAGTTAGCCTTCAGGGGAACAGAAGCTAGTGGAGGGGGAAGAGGAAACTCTAGAGTGAGAGCTAGTATCCTCCCTACCTAACCGGTCTTCAAGACTATTCAAACTATAGATTAGCCAATGTTCTTTTTAGCATCTCTAGTAATCTCTAGTAAGGGTAAAGAATATTATTGCTCCTATTTGACACAACATATTTAATATACTTTCACAATAGAAGTTTTATACTTATTACTGATTCGAGATAAGAAAAAAGATATTTTATTTATATTGTCTTCATCTTGCAAGTATTTAGTTAAGTTAATTAGTTGTTTACTTTATTTTCATATATCAAAAATTATAAAAAGAATCGAACTTTCATTCCTATTATAGCATCTTGAGTTTAGGTAAGAATATTTTGCTAAGTAAAATTCTGTTATCTAATTTCTCTTGTTTTATAAAGTCCATATTGCCAGTTTCCTCTGTGGGTTCGATGTTCGAGGATTAATCAAAAAGTCTTATATCACTTGATAACGATACGTATACTTGAATAGTATCTCATATTTAATTATTATTATAATTGCATTCTTCTTTGCTTCATAGTAGAAAATTTACCTAGCTTTTGCTTCAGAACTCAATTTTGGCTTTGTTGCAAATTAGGAATCACTATTAAGGAAATTAAGCATATAATCGTATACATTGCATTTTACATATATATATATATATAATCGGGATCACCTACATTTGGAGAATCGTACAACATATGCAGTTCCCAAAGATATGCAATAATATGGTCACTATTCACTCCATGAACTCCAATCCCTTGGTCTCCATGGTGTATTGGCATAAACCCCTTCATCCTTGGATAAAAGTCAATACTTATGGCAGCTTTCTTCATGAAGATGCAGACAATGGTGGTGTTTTAGAGATTCTTTTGGGCAACTTTCTGCATTATTTCCAATCTCCAACTTTGGCACAAGATACACATGAAGTTAAAACCATTGTTGTTTATTGGGCTCTCCTCACTGTAGTACAAGGAAATTGGCACCATCTCCACATAGAATCTGACTCTCAAATACTGACCTAGATTTTGATGAACTAGACTGAGCCCCCTCGGCCCTTGACACATTTGATCCACAAAATTAAATCCCTTGTTTCTTCCAAACCTACCATACACTCTTACATTCCTAAAGAAGGCAATAGGATTGCTCATTGGCTTGCAAAACAAGAAAATCTTATAGATAAAATTGTAATTAGCAAAATTCCAAGTCTTCTCTTACTTTACTTTTGGTAGGGGATAATTCAGATCTCCCCTACATTAGACTGTTGTAATTTCTTTTCTGGTTAACGAATCTCCCACATAAGCATAACTACATTTCTTTTGTATCTATTGCTACTGTGTTTTTTTGCAAAAAGAAAAAAAAAAAAAACACACACACACACATACATACATACAGACATACATACATCCATCCATACATGCATACATACATGCATACATATGCATATATATATATATATATATATATGCATACCTAAATACATACCTACATACATACATATATAACTACATACATACATATATAACATAGAAGTGCATGGGTTAGGTGTGTGTATGTGTGTGTGTGTGTGTGTGCGTGTGTGTGTAGATAGATATATATAGAGATAGATAGATAGATAGATAGATAGATAGATATATATGTATACATACATACATACGTACATACATGCATGCATGCATGCATGCATACACACATACATACAATCATACATACATATATAACATAAAAGTGAATGGGTTTAGTCACATCTATTTATAAGCATTTGACACTATTTTTATTGCAAATTCTCTTAGTATACGTTAAACATCGTCCCATTTTGCTTTTCATGCTACATTCTCAGTTCATTGGCTTTTATATTTTAATAAATATAGTTATTTATGAATTTGATTTATGAAACTCACTTGATATTTTGCATATCATGTTTCACCTAATCACTCTTCAGTCTGTCTTCACAGGAGCTAACTTCTAGCTTTAAACTTATTTTCTTAATATCTTCTGGATTTGCATTAATTGTTGTATTTCTCTTTTAGATTTGTGTAGTTATCCACTGTCACTTCAATTTTTTTTTAGTTATTTTCTTATTTTTCTTCTGCTGCATTAATTGTTGAATTTTTATTTATGAAATAAAATAAATTTTATTTTTCCTTATTTTATCCACTGCTTGTATACAATTTATTCTGGTGTGAATACAAAATATAGTCAATTCATTTTATTACGTCCTATGTTGTCAGGGTATACTTTCTTTCGGATTCACGGTGTGACACTTATTATGGTAATGTATATTACTTTTTAGTGCCTAAAACTAATTCTATTATTACTTTTATTTTTTTTAACCTTACGTCATAAAAATTGTCTAAATTTATATGTTTTACATTAAAGCTAGAGTTTTCTTAGTTTTTCTAAGAAGATTCAAATAAAGAAATTATTTAGCACATTTATTGAGTATACATCAATGTTATACGGGACCCGGGTTATGTAAAGCCACTAAAATAGGTATGATAATAATGAATATCTATATGTATAAGAAACCACCTCAAATGAGCTAATTTTATATATGATAATGATCTCTAAAAAAATGGGTCAAATCCTATTATAACTACTTTGAGCATTATTCTAACAACTTTTGAATATGATTTGAGATTAGTTCAAATAAAATTTATAGATAATTAGAACAACTAATGTGATGTTTTATGCACTTTATAGTAGAGTGTATAATCTGCAAAAAATATATCTAAAATGTAATTTTTAACTTCAAGAAATCAAAGGAATTTGTATGCTTATTTTAGTTGGTTAAAGTTGGAACTTTACATATATTTAAATATGAAGAAATTTATTAAACTTCATTATTTAAATGTAATTTATGTGTATCTTTTAATTTTTTTGCCTGCAATCAGTTCATTCAATATACAAGAGTAAGGATAAAAGGACATTTACATACATTGCATTGCACACATTCCTTAGATAAAATAAATCATAAATTTTCATTATTATCTTGCGTTATCAGCCGATCGCCACACGGAGGATAGAAAATCGGATTATTTTCCCACCCAGCGATGGCTCTATGCCCAAGGTTTCCGGCTTCAATTCCCGGCGAAGGATTCGACCCCGCGCACCTTATCACCGTCGCTTCTGCACTCCGCCTCGGTCATCTCGTCCGTCTCCGTTGCACGAAACATCTCCACCTTCTACTCCGCTCGTCTCTCTGCCAGGTTCCCCAAAACCTATGTCTTTTTTTCTCCGCCATATATTTCTTCTAGCAGACCTCTATAGCAGTGTCCCGTAGACTTGCCGCACTATAATGGCGATTAATATGAATAGTATGCATCGCAGATGTAAATTGGTTCATTATTATTAGCTTTATGCATGGTAGATTAATGCTCTCTCTCTCTTATACACACGCACACACACACAAAGATATTGAAATTGCCAGTTGTTTGTATTCACAAAAGACTAATGATCTTTAATTGAGTTTTATACGATTAGTTAGTGTTAAAGGATGATTTTTAAATTTTATTCTAATCCTCAACTTCCTTTTGAGGCTTTCCATTTCCATCTTTGCGGGCGTGTTTCTTCGTGCATTTGTCGGCACGAAGTCAAGGAAATACCCAACTTTATAATGAATACACAGATCGAGGTCTTAATTCTGGCATTCTTTTTATGGTTTTTGTAATACATACAGGAAATTTTATGAAGATTTAACGTAATCCATTTTTTCCAGCACTGAACGATGTGTAGAATGGATAAAGAAAATGAAACCCACTTTTGTTCCTACTAATCTTTGCTGGACTTGCAATTTTTAAATTGTAGTTAATACACAAATTTTCTTCCATTTTCTTACGAACTTAATGTTGATTACGTTTGCCTTTAGAAGGACAGGAAGTAAAATTTTATACTTACTTCAGTTATATCCATTTATTCATAGTGTGTGTGGAATGTCCTCATATTCATCAAGCTTCATGCTAGGTTGTTGAAATTAAGTCAGCCTTCTTACCAAAACACTTGATTTTGACTAGTTTTATCAGAATTATCTAGGATAATATCATGAAACACATGTAATCTATTTTAATAGCGCAGTTACTATGGTTGTTGGAGGAGATCATGACAAAAAATCTTAATGTCTAGCTCTTTAGCAACAACGAACTATGACACATGTCCTTTTCTAGGAAAAAAATTACACATCATTTTCCTGACCATAGTTGGGATGTTGTAGCTGGCCTTTGCATGGGCAACTTCATTAATTCTATAATTTTTTTTTCATAAATACCATACTTGGCAAAAGAAAAGTTGATTAGTTTGTTTATTTACAAAATATTAGTGTGCTTTAATTGAGTTTGATGTGATTATTTTTTTATTACTGGTTATCTTTAAGGTTTACTATCATCATCTTCAACAGCCTTTATAAGTTTACCATTATGGCCTTCATCAGGAGACTATTCATACTTGTGGTAGTACACACTTTTAAAGAATATCTGGATTTATAATGGATAGAAAGATCGGCAGGGTCTTTCTTCTTGTATGTTTTCTTTCTTTCTTTCTTTCTTTTTTTTTTTTTATGGGTAGATAGAGTAATTCACAGAGGGAAAATTTGATGGACCTGTCTGAGTTCCTGAACGATGAGTAGGTTGAAATAGAGAATAAGCTAACTTTTGTGCCAAATGAACTTTATAATATTAGCAATTTACTAGGTGAGGTTAACCTATAAAGTTTTGTTGAAGGGCCTTTTCAAAGTGTTCTTTGAGATCTTAAAGAGAGAAAAAAACTTTATATTCATTTTCTTAAATCATGATGCTTTGGATTTCCTTTATAAGGGAAGGGAAAATCATTTTTAGTTTTGCATCAAACATCCGTGTCCTAGTTTAATATGAGGCCATAATAATGATTGTTCAATCCCCGGGCACTTATGTTAGCATTATAATGTATGCCTTCTTGTAACTAGCGGTTTGTGCCTTACAATGAACGAGCTACGTATTCTTTTTTCAGTAAATGACAAATGATTCCTAAGGTGAACTGAAGATATAATGGTACCTTATGATGTAGAGGATTAGAATGATGAAGCTTTGATACCTCACAACAGATCAATATGCATATAAGGAAATTATGATAGATGTTAAATTACTTTTAAAATGACATTTAACTCAAAGAATATAAATTTGTTTTGAATATGAAACAAAGATATGCATATGTTAAGTGGCACTATAGGATAACTACTCCCATAGGTCTAAAATGTAGAATAGTACTTAGTCTATAATAGCGATGCATGATGATTCTATATGGCGTGTTTTTAATAAATTAATATCTACTTATTAATAAAATAAAATGCTTTGTGCTTAAGACCTATCTACTAAATAAAAAAAATTGACTGTAAAAAGTGTTATTTTTTGCTCTTACAAGAAAGAGTTAAGGAAATTGTCTTTTGTGGAGAGGACGATTCATTGTTTATGCTAAAAAAATCCTTTCTTTTTCAAGGCAACAATAATAACATGGAGTTGAGCTATGTTAAGAAGGATTTGATCATTTAATCAATCCCTATACTCTTAAGAGTTTTAGATTTTGAGGTACCAAAAGAAAGAATAAATATAGAATAAAAAGACAATCTAGAATTGTACATTCCAAAATTGGTTATTCTAAGAGAAGGTAAAATATATATGCAATTTTAGATTTCAACAATCACCTAAAACTAGTGAATAATTTTTTTAAGAATTTTAGATTTTAAGGGACTTAAAGAAAGAATAAATATAGAATAAAAAGACGCAATCTAGAATTGCACAATCCAAAATTTGATAATCTAAGAGAAGGTAAAATTTATATGCCAATTTTAGATTATCAATAACCCATAAAAACTAATGAATAATAATAATTTTTTTTTTCAATTTGTTTGTAATTTCTTGATATTTTTAATTATATAGCAGCTTGGTCATGATCTGATCACCTGATTATATTTGTAGAGCATTAATTAGACCACTATCCGATTTCTTCTTTATAAAATTCTTATCCACTTCTATAAATTTGGTGCTTTCATGTAGTATTGGTTTTTGAACAATACCGGGGTTTCATAGATCATTTCCTCTTGATTTTAAGATTAAGGATTATCGTTGGCCATATAAGTTATAGATTCTATGGCTCCAAGCTCAGCTTCAACACTTGATTATGCAAGCACATTTCACTTCTTCATTTTTTTCACATGACACGATTACCTTTAAAAAGGCACAATAATTTGATGCGGATCTTTTATCTACAATATAACCATCATAATCTGCACCTATAAAAGCCCACTCCTCCAAACCAAGCTCTTTAAGTTTTATAAATAAGATTCGTAGTCATGGTGTAGCCTTAAGGTAGTGTGGAATCTTGTGGATTACTTGCACGTGCTTCTCCCAGGATCATGTATTTACTGAGCCACCACACTAACAATATATGCTATATTTGGCTTGTATTGGGATAATTAAACCAGCCTGTTTTGGGATAAGTAAATCAATTTCTCATCTAGTCTTTAACCTCTTCCCCTTTCTATTTTATTTTCATCATTTTCTTTGCCTAACTTTTGATTAGGTTTGATAGGTGTTCCAATTGCTCTACAATCGAGTACTTCTCTCTCTTTTCAAATATCAACAATTATTTTTGTCAAAAAATAAAGATTACTTCGGTTGAACATACTTGTTTGATACTTAAGAAATACTTAAAGACTTTCAAGTTTGTTGACCGTAAAACTATTGGAAAGGCATTTTTTTTTAGAGATTTTTCTTTCAATTGTGTTATTTCTTATCACAATAACATCAACAAAATTCATTGTTAAGACTATGACTTCTTTTGTTGTTGATGCTTTACAATAAGAGTATGCTCCCATTGACCCAATTATACCACTTTATTAGTATATCATCTGTGAATTTCCCAAACCATGCTCTAGGAGATTGGTTCAATCCATACTATATATTTTTAGCACGTGTATTTCCACTAAAATTCTCATTGAACCAAGGAATGAGTTCTGACGTGGTGCGTGGAGGCGACTCCGGATTGGTTCGGTCCAAGTGTGGGAGGGCCGGTCAGCCCTTTCTCTAGGTCTAGGGTTACCGCCCACTCCTAATAGCAACAATGGTATTTTTATCTATTTGTTTCTATTAAATTTAAGTTCTTTGTTGATTATAAATATGTAGTTGTTTATTGTATTATGAATCTTTTGTTCATTTGAGTTTTGTGAGAGTTTGTGTTCCCTTTGGGGTTCTTGGATGGGGTCGAGTTTGTATTCACGGTTTTGGATGATGGCAACTGTATTCCTTCCTTATTGGTGGTGGCATCTTGGGTCTTCTTCCATCATCAATCCTTTGGGTGGTGAGTTTGTTTCCTGATCGACTGCGCGAGTAGGAAATTCTTGTATCGTATATCTTTTTATTTGACAAGTGCGTTTTGTCTTTGTTCTGGTTATTTTTTCTATCTTGGGTTAATTTTTCGGCTGTTTATGCTGAATCTTTTCAAACCCTTATTCTCCAGTATTATTTGGTATCAGAGCCACCATAACCATAGTTCCATCGTAGGGTTACCAAAATCCTCTCAAACTTAAACTCAACAAGCCATAGCCAAATCTTGGCCCAACCCTTATACTCCTTGCTCATACACCTTTTATCATCTCCCAAACCTAAACTCACCAAATCATAGCCAAATCATGATCCAACTCCAGTTCCCCCTAGCTAATTTTCAAATCACCATCCCTAACAAGTTTTTTTTCACCCTATATCAGTTTCATACACTTTTTCACCTCCTAAATATAAATTTTAGTCTGCCACCGTGGAGAAAAGAGCTTGAAATCGAAGGCCCTCTAATCCCGAGAGATTACAGCAGCTTTGTTTCCTTCAACATGACCGACATGACGTCATTACATGTTGAGTCAGAAGTTTTGACAGATGAGATTGAAGCTTCACCAACCCTGATAGATTGACGCAGGATGGGGAAGAGACCCTAGAATGGTTTGGTCTGAGTGGAGGAGGGTCCACCGGCTCTCCCTCTAGGGCTAGGGTTGCGGCCCACTCCTAAAAGTAACATGGGTATTTTGTCTTTTTGTTTGTATTGGGTTGAAGTCCTTTGTTGATTATAAATATATTTATTGTATTACTGATCATTTGTTCATTTTGAGTTTTGGGAATGTCTATGCTCGCTTTGTGGTTCTTGGATGAGAACGAGTCTGTATCCTCAGTGTTGGATAGTGGAAATTGTTTCC